GATGAGCCCCAGCCCATACTGTGCCGTCTCCATGGCGCTGAGGCTCACAGAGACACACTCCAGGACCCGCGGAGCCAGGATACAGAGTACCCCGGCGCCTCATTTTGCTGCCGAAAGCCGAGTTAAAGGGCAGCAATAAGTTAACTGAACAAAAGGCAAAAGACTTCTAGTGTTCAAGAGAAGCCGCTCAGACACATGCCTGGGTTTCCAGCAGTGCCAACGGCTCCCTACAGCTGGAGAGAAGCAGAATGCTCCCCAGACGGGAGCGTGTGCAGACCGCACGGCAAACAGGCATTCCTGCCTTTTCACAGACGGGCCTGGTTTGCTGGAACTGGAGACACAGGGCATGTGGTTCCCAGTCTACAAGGTAACACCAACAAAAACGCCAAAACCAAAAATCCAAGCCAGTTGCTGTCAAGTTGACTGATCTATGGTATGTGTCGGAGTAGAACTCTGCTCCGTAGGGTTTTCAATGGCTGATTTTTCAGAAATAGATCTCCAGGCCTTTCTTCTGAGGCACCTCTTGGTGGACTCAAACAGCCAACTGTTCAATTAGCAGCCAAGTGTGCTAACCTGTGACCACCCAGGGACCCCAGCAAGAAAGCAGAACATGCCAAATTCAGGAAAAAATGTTCCTTTCTGCTAGGAGAACAGGGAGGGCTTCCTGGAAGAGGAGGTATTTGAGCTGAGCCTTCAAGGTTGGACAGAATTTAAACGTATGAAGTGAGTGGGGAGTAGCAGGGTTAGGAGAGTCTAGGGATCTGTGTGAGCAGAGGCATGGAAGCGGACGAGAGAAACTGACTGACAAGGAAGGAGGAAGGGCTAAGAGAGACCAGACCACAAGGGCTTTAAATGCTAGACCGAGTAAGCACCTGAACCAGCTCGATCTTCCTTAAGCATCTATGCTTGTCACTATTTGAAGCAACATTAACGCAACCCGTTAAGGAAAAAATAACTATTCATATAGCCACAGGTGGAACCAAGTGACTCATCTGTAGGTTTGATTTTTTTCCCCCAGTAGCTTTCTTAGTTCAAATGGCAATTGCTTGATGTAAAAAAAAAGCCTCTAACTCAGTATTTCTTCTCCTTTTCCTAGAAAACAGAGCAAATATGGAGAAACAGCTATAGGAGGCAAAGGTGTTAAAAGATAATTTTTAAAACAGAGTATAATCACAACTCGTACAGATATAACACAAACACGTGTTAAAGACTTTTTTAAAAAATGCATTAAAGAATGAGGGAGCCAGTAAGATGTCCAACTGGGAGAATCTGAGTCACGCATATATAGGCCATCGAGAATGCACTAGTAAACTTGTTTAACAGATGTAAAGCCGGTCAACATCCACAGAGTAACAATCGATTGTGCCGCCTCCAGACTGGGTTTGCAGTGCTGTGGACAAGAACCATTTACATTACTGACAGTATTCCACATCTGACAGTGTGACACAGCTCAGACAGTGAAAGGCCCAGAGACCCAGACAATCAGGTAACCAGACAACTCCTACTTTTTTCACTGAGGACACTCAGTAATTTTTGATCCATTTCAAAATCTTTTACAGCTTTTCACTATGCAGGTGAATACTGACCAACGTGCCAACGGTAAACTCCCAGGCATGTGTTTTATGGGAAATCGCAGGAAGGATGAGAGTGTGAGGTTTAGAATTTGGGCATCTGACCAGGCCATCAAGGCTCAGCAGGTTAGGAGGCAGGTTAACTCTATACTGGGAATCAGGAGGTCGTGGGTTCAGGAGGGTCTCTGGCTGGGCCACCAACTCGCTGTGAGGTGTTGTTGTCAAGCGCTGTCAAGTCAATTCCGACTCACAGCAACCCCATATGACAGAGTAGAACTGCCCCCAGAGGGTTTTCTAGGCTGTAATCTTTATGGAAGCAGATCGCCAGGTCTTCCTCCCGGGTAGCTGCTGGGTGGGTTCAAAGCCCCCACCCTTCAGTTAGCACCTGAGTGCTTAACCATTGCACCACCAGGGCTCCTTAGTTGTCAGCTAGTCCCTCCCCTCCCCCAAGAGGTGTCTAAAATGAGAAGTCTGGTACTAACTTGGTGGTACTCTACCCGACCACACACCACAGCTGCTTAGGGAGCTTTGAAAAAACATACTTGCTCCACTCTGGAGATTCTGATCCAGCTGGTCTGGGTGGGCCAGGGCATCATTGGCTATTACAATCTCCCCAGGCGATTCGAACGAGCAGACAGGCTTGAGAACTACTGGGCCAGATCTTAAGTAAGAACGGCTTCGTCCCTGCCACTCTCTGGCTTTATTGTAACATTTTCTTTCAACTGACAGCTGCCAGCCTTGGTATGGAGCCCTGGTGGAGCAGTGGTTAAGAGCTTGGCTGCTAACCAAAAGGTTGGCAGTTCAAATCCATCATTCCTTGGAAACCCTGTGGGGCAGTTCTACTCTGTCCTATAGCGTTGCTATGAGTCGGAATGGACTCGATAGCAACGAGTTTGGGGTTTTTTTAGCCCTGGTAGGGAGTCCCTGCGTGGTACAGTGCTCGGCTGCTAACCGAAAGGTTGGTGGTTTGAATCTGCCCAGAGGAGCCTCAGAAGAAAGGTCTGATGATCTACTTCCAAAAAATTAGCCACTGAAACCCCTATAGAGCACAATTCTACTCTGGTGGTTAGAACATCAATGGAACATTTTCCAAAAATACTCCCCAAATTTAATCTTTAACAGAGACCAGAAAACATAGGCAACCATGACATGGTCGCGCTTGGCAAACATCCTGTAATGTGTTAGAGTCTTCCACTGGGGCAGCTGCCATCAACTCGTGAAGTCTGCTGAGCTCAGCACAGGCCCAGTCTCCTGATCTGCTGCTTTAGTCACATGGATGTACCTGAGCAGAAAGACACCCTCAAGTGTGTATACTAGTGAGCACAAACAAATGAGGTACACACACATGCAAGCATTTGTACACACTCACACATTCATACACCAGCCTCCAAATCAAAGGTTGGGGTCACACAAGGGAAAGATTAGTCCAAAGGACTAATGGACCACAACTACCACAGCCTCCACCAGACTGAGTCCAGCACAACTAGATGGTGCCCGGCTACCACCACAGACTGCGCTAACAGGGATCACAATAGAGAGTCCCGGACAGAGCTGGAAAAACACGTGGAACAAAATTCTAACTCACAAAAAAAGACCAGACTTACTGGCCTGACAGAGACTGGAGAAACCCCGAGAGTATAGCCCCCGGACACCCTTTTAGCTCAGTAATGTCCTAAGGCTCACCCTTCAGCCAATGATTAAACAGGCCCATAAAACAAAACGAGACTAAACGGGCACACCAGCTCAGGGGCAAGGACTAGAAAGCAGGAGAGGGCAGGAAAGCTGGTAATACAGAACCCAAGGTCGACAAGAGCAGAGTGCTGACATGTTGTGGGGTTGGCAACCAATGTCACAAAACAATCTGTGTACTAATTGCTTAATGAGAGCTAGTTTGTGCTGTAAACCTTTATCTAAAGAACAACAATAAAAAATAAAAAAGGTTGGGGTCACACTGGGGGTACCTGTGACTGATTAATCACCTTTGGTTGCCTAGTCCCCACAGTTAGGCAGATAATTAACAGGAGGGCAGGTGATGGTACATTCCCCAGCACTTCCCTCCCCTGTCCAACCCAAGGTCTGAGACCTGTGCCATGAATTACGAACTCTGATGTTATCAAGGATTGCTCTGAACTCACTCCAACTTATCACCAAAGGATGTCACAGGCAATCTCTGGTACCCAGCGATAAGTCACCTTACCCTGGTGTAAGAAGCCCTGCTCTAAAGGAACCGTCCGCCTTTCTGTGGGACTGAGGAGGGCCATGGGCCAGGTACCCATAGGGAAGGATGATCTTCCCTTTTGTTATGGATTGAATTGTGTTCCACAAAACTATGTGTTAGGATTCTAACCCCTGTTCGTGTAGATGTAACCCCATTTGGGAATAGGGTTTTCTTTGTTATGTTAATGAGGCCATATCAGTGTAAGGAGTATCTTAAATCTAATGACTTCTGAGATTTAAAAAGAGCAACAAAGACACAGAGACAAGCAAGCACAAACGGAGGAGAGACAGCTGCCAAGTGGAGCTCTCCAAGAAATGCCGAGAAGAACGCTAGAGAAGCTGAGACCAGGATCTTCCCCCAGAGTGGACAGAGACAGCCTTCCCATAAAGCCCGCACCCTGAATGCAGGCTTCTAGTCTCCCAAACTGTGAGAAAATACATTTCTGTTCTTTAAAACCACCCACTTGTGATAGCTCTGCTACAGCAGCACTAACAAACTCAGACACCTCCCTTGATCCTGACGTCCCACCTCTCTCTCTCTCACACACACACACATACACATACACTGCAGTGCAGTTAATTACTTTTGTGTGTGGCCTTTCTAGCCATGGTCTTGTAACTCCCACCCAGGGGATTGGGTGGGGCTGTGCAAATAAGATAATTGTGGCCCAGCGAGGGGACCGGTCAGCTACGCCTTAATAGCCTTAATAAAGAGCCAATCCCAGAGCAGAGAGGAGGAGCCCACCACCACCAAGGAAGGAGCCACCTGGCAGCAGGAGACGGTGGCGGTGGGCTTCCCAGCCCATGGAGAGAGGAAGCTGAGTGCCTGTGGGCAGAGGCCAAGGGCCAGGGAGAGGTGTGACTGTGACCACAGCTGGGGAGAGGCTGTCCTAATTAAAGAACTGTATCCTGAGTGTTCCTGAGCCTGAATTGTAACTGTTACTTCCCTAATAAACCCATAATTGTGAGCATGGTCTGTGAGTTCTGTGTGGCCACTGCAATAAATTATCAAATCCAGCAGAGAAGCAGCGAGTGCTGTGTGAGGGACAGTTGGCGTCAGAATTAGCAGACAGTGAAGAGAGGAGGCTTGTCTGGCCTCTGCCTTGTAGGAATCAGCCTTGGGCTGCTGATCTTGATTTTCCTTTCCCCCTCGTGAAGGTGGAGGAGGTCAGACACTGCTCTCACACCATTTTCAGACACACACACACTTACTGCAGGCCGCACAGGTGAAGCACGTGTCGTGGTAGAGGTTCCCCATGGCCTGGCAGGCCTGGTCGGCCCCAAAGACCCCTTTGCTGCATTTCACACAGGCTCCTGCAAGGGCAAGAACACATCAGTGAGTCGGGGGGAGACAGTCCAAACTCAGTCACAAAAAAGCCAATGGAAACAGCAAAGCGCACATCCGTCCCCACAACCAACAGCTCACCAAACCCCAAGGAGTACTCCCTTGAAATAATGCTTGTCCTTCTTCAGGTTGGACTACAGGCTGCCCCTCCCTGTCCCATGCTGCCATCCACACTGTCAAGTGAATGTTCAGAAGACCTCCGCTTGGTCAACTCACTCCTTCACTCAAAGCTTTCAAAGTTCACAAGAGAAGTCCAAAAATTGCAGGAGTGGCTACAATATGCCACACATAGTTCAACTGAAATATCTCATGTAATCCTCAGTGGAAACCCCCCAACTAGGGTGGATCATTCCCGCTTTTTACAAAAGGCATCAGGCCCCGAGCCCCCAGCTCTGGGCTCGTCACTGCCCTCCACCCTTGGCTCACCTGTCTATTCACCCTGTGCTAGGGCAGCCAGGCTGCTTTTCCCTCCATCCGCCAAAGAAACCCCCATCATTCTAGCTCTTAGCCTTTAAGGATGTGGTTCCGCCGCCTGGCACACCCAACCCGTGCCCTTCTGTCCATTCTAGTCCCTCTAGACCTTTGCCATGACTCCTTCCTCATCCTCTCCAGCTCTCCGGCTCTGAAGGTAACAAGATGACATGAAAAGCGAACCAGAAATTAAAGAGCCAGGTTCCAACCTTGAGCCTCCCACCCACTGACTACCCACGTGGTTTGGGTTAACCCATTCAATTCTCTGAATGTCAGTTTCTTAATTAGGAAGTAGAGGTTAGTTTTACCTGCCCGGAATGTGTCAGGAGCTACAGTAGAGAAGATTGCTTTGTAAACCAAAAAGTTCTAAAGAGTTCATCTGCCCACAATTTACTAGCTACGTGACCTGTTGTTGTCAGCTGCCATCGAGTTGGCTCTGACTCATGGCAACCTTATCTATAACAAAACAAAACGTTGCCCAGTTCTGTGCCATCTTCATGATGGTTGGTATGACTGAGTCCACGATTGCTGCCAGTGTATTGTGAGTGCCTTTCAATCAGGGGTCTCATCTTCCAGCACTATATCAGACAATATTCTATTATGATCCATAAGGTTTTCATTGGTTAACTGTCGGTAGTAGATGGCCAGGACTTTCTTCCTAGTCTATGTTAGTCCGGAAGCTCTACTGAAACCTGTCTACCATGGGTGACACTGCTGGCATCTGAAATATGGATAGCATAGCTTCCAGCATCACAGCAACACTCAAGCCACCACAGTACCACAAACTGACAGACTAGGGCAGATGATTTAAACTCCCTGACATCTGGCTTTCTGTCTATAAAATGGGGCTGTAAGAATCCTATTATAGGATTACTATGAAAGAATACACGGAGTGCTTGGCACAGGGCCTGTCAGCTAGGAAATGTTCAATAAATAGGGATATAAAGAATAAGGATAACGATATTGCTACATTCAGCAAGAAGCTGCTCTGGCATAAAATGAACTCTCTAAGAAGTTCCAGGCCTCCCGGGATCTCAGGGCCCATGAACAAGATCAATCCAGGCTTTTCCAATCATCAAGCAGTTCTTGGGCTTCAGAGTCCCAGCCTTCTGCCTATAGGGTAGAAAGCACTGTGTTCCAGAGTTCAAACTGAGAAGCTTCGTCGCCATCAAATGAAGTCCAAGTTAATGCATCCCTCAGGTTCAAAGTGAAAACAGGAAGCCACCGGCCCTCAGCCCAAACTCTTCACCAACTCTAGGAAGTAAGGAGAGGCAGTCTGTAGGAATAGAATTGTGTCATCCAAGAAAACTACTAGGGGAATTAGTTATGGAAAGCTCTAGAGAACGTTAAGTATTGGTTATTTGCAGTTCTTCTGTTTCAACACTTTACTTTTGAAACTTTCAACCTAGCATAAATGTTGAAAGAATCACACGGTAAATACCCATAAACCCACCACCTCAATTCTATAACTGACATTTTGCTATCCATCCCTCTATCAATTCAATGGAGCCCTGGTGGCACAGTGGTTAAGAGCCTGGCTGCTGAACAAAAGGCTGGCAGTTCGAATCTACCAACCACTCCTTGGAAACCCTATGGGGCAGTTCCACTCTGTCTTATAGGGTCGCTATGAGTCAGGATCGATTCGATGGCACTCAACAACATCAATTCAACAATCCACCTTATTTTTTCTGCATTTCAAGGTAGGTTGCAGACATCAGTCCACCTCACCTCTAGACACCTCAGCCTATGTATCATTAACTAGAAGTTCATTTTTTATTTACAGTCCATTTTTTAAGGAAGAAGTTATAAACAAAAACACACAGGTCACAAATCCAGCATTCAATGAGTTTTGACAAATGACCTATGTAACACACACCTTAATCAAGGTATGTTTCCAACACCCTAGAAAGTTCCCCCAGACCCCTTCCCTTCCTTCTTCTCCTTAATGGCTATGAAATCATGTGTGCGTACGTGTGTGTGAAGTATTAGAGCATGTCATTGCTATGAAATTGGAACTGTCAAGTAACTAGGGGGCATCAGGATATCTTTTTGTCCAATTATTTCACATACGCTCTCAAGCCAGGAAATACAATAGTTCTGGGCAAAACGTACTTTCCTGGCACACTCAGAGCTGCTGGCGCCTATCTAGGAGAGACGCGTGAAGTTGGCAGGGTTCTGCCATTACCACTCATCTTGAAGGCTCATTTAAGCAGGCTCATAACTCTAGAAACCAGTGGTGCTCACGGCTGCTGCTGGAGCAGAGAGGGCACTGAGCCAGGCTGGTCAGGTGGGGCCTCTGGGCCTCTGGCATTGGGAGCGTGTGGCTGTGGAAGCGATGGCGTTGGCGAGTCCACCACTGGACACTTCCCTCACGATGGTAGGTTACTGGTTGCCTGTGCATTTGTCTGCCTCTCCTAGTGCACTGGGAGTGCCTTCCGGTAGGGGCCGTATCTTGACTGTGGACTCTGCAGTGCTCACAAAGCAGTGCTGAGTTGCATCATATTCCTAGGTAGCTCCACACTGTCCTCTCCCCTCTCTCCTTTCCGGATACTCACTCCCTTGTATCTTAGGCACACAAGTCCATCTCCCCTGTAAACATCCTTTACAGAGGTTCAAAGTCTTATTGAACTCTGAACACCCTCAGCCACTGACAAAGTGCGCTTAGTATGCCCTTGACACCCATTTAGTACACAGAAGCAGAATTGCTGAGCACCGGGCTACGGTATAATTCAGCTGTGATGCTGGGGAAGAACGCACTCCGAAAAGGTGCCCAGTATCAGGCAATGGCAAGTTATTTATTATACTATCTGGTGATGACATGTGTTATGGATTTAATCACGTCCCCCCAAAATATGTGTTGGAATCCTAACCCCTATACCTGTGGAAGGGAGTCCCTGGGTGGTGCAAACAGTTAAGCACTTAACTACTAGCTGAAAAGCTGGCAATTCAAACTGACCCAGAGGCACCCTGGAAGACGAGCCTGGTGATCTGCTTCTGAAAGGTCACAGCCATTGACAACCTACGGAGCAGTTCTACTCGGCACACACGGGGCTACCATGAGTCAGCATTACTCAAAGGCAACTAAAACAACAACTACCAGTGGATGTGATCCTATTTGGGAACAGGGCTTTCTTTGTTGTGTTAATGACATCAAGGCAGTGTAGGGGGGGTGACCTCAACCTAATCTCTTCTGGGTTATAAAGAGCAACATAGACACAAAGACAAGCGAGCACAAACGGGGGTAAGACAGATGCCACATGAATATTGCCAAGGAACCAAGGAATGCCGGGGCAACACAAGCTGAGGCCGGGACCTTCCCCCTGGGCCCACAGAGAGAGAGCCTTCTCCTAAAGCGAGTACTCTGAACCTGGACATCTAGCCTCCTAAACTGTGAGAACATAGGTTTCTGTTCTTTAAAGCCACCTGCTTGTGGTATTTGTGTTACAGCAGCATGAGGGAGCTGAGACATCGAGTCCACTTCCAGACCACTCTGTCCCAAGTCCCCTGGCTGACCTGACTATAAACCTTTACAACAAGCAACCAAGGCTGGTTTGTCAGGAAGCAGCCAAAGCACACTCAAACCAAACAAGGTGTAACGGCAACGCGATGCCCTCATGAACATAATTCCACTCAAGAACAAGGAACATCACCCCTTTGAGAGCAAGGGAGAATGAAGAAAACAAGATACAAGGGAAAGATTAGTCCAAAGGACTAATGGAACACAACTACCACAGCCTCCACCAGACTGAGTCCAGTACAACTAGATGGTATGCGGCTACCACCACTGACTGTTCTCACAGGGATCATAACAGAGGGTCCCGGACAGAGCTGGAGAAAAATGTAGAACAAAATTCTAACTCACAAAGGCCTGACAGAGACTGGAGAAACCCTGAGAGTATGGCCCCCGGACACCCTTTTAGCTCAGTAATGAAGTCACTCTCGAGGTTCACCTTTCAGTCAAATATTAGACAGGCCCATAAAACAAAACAAGACTAATGGGGCACAACAGTCCAGGGACAAGGACTAGAAGGCAGGAGGGGACAGGAAAGCTGGTAATAGGGAACCCAAGGTTGAGAAGGGAGAGTGTTGATATGTCATAAAACAATATGTGTACTGTTTAATAAGAAACTATCTGTTCTGTAAACGTTCAACTAAAGTACAATAAAAAAAAAAAAAAGAACATGGAACGAAAGCACCCCTAGATCCAACATTTCTTGCCCATTGTTCTTTGTGCCTCTTTGCTGAACCCACTGTAGGAACGTTAACTGCAAACAGCAGCAGAGCTGTGAGGCTCCACAGCTCAGTGTGGCGTGATCGCCCCTTCCCCCCATCCACAGGATGGACACACAACGAGGACCAGCCTTCTAGGCAGCTCACCAGAAAGGAAACCCTAAGTACATCTCATGAGTCAGTGGAACGCCACTGGCTCGGAATGAAGATGTGAACTCATCTTGATAGAGTCTGGGGAATAAAATTAGACCACTTCTCTAACCTCTTC